TGATGGGCCGGTAGTTCTGGGGCAACTTCCGGTCCTTGCCTGGCTTGGTGAGCATTATAACCTGGGCTTCCCGCCACCGCCGCGGGAAGTGGTTAAGTCTCAGAGTGGCATTGGCGATGTTGGTGAGCGCAGCAATGCCTTTGGTGGGAAGGTTCTTCAGCATCCTATTGTTGATGCCGTCCCTTCCCGGCGCCTTTCTGACCTTCAACCTGCGGATGATCAGACGAATTTCCTCTGGACTGGAGGGGTGATCCGTCTCCTGGCCAGGTGGTCGACTCCTCATGATTTCGGCTGCGACTTCCACGGCCTCCTCGTGGTTGTCGTCCTCGTCTTCATGGTAATTGAGTCTGCATTCGGATTCTAGCGAATCGGCGAATGCTTCGGCTTTTTCTTCACTGGAGTAGGCCAAGCCGCGTTGGCCGTGAAGAGTGGGGATCGTGGTGCGCTGACGACGGAATTTTCGCTGCATAGTCCAGGCCGTACCATCCTGGGTCTCTAGTTCTGCACAGGCTGCATTCCATCTGCTGTTTTGGAGTTCCGCGAGTGCGTTCTTCAGAGCTAGCGATGCTCTGTTTCGCGCAACTCTCGACTCCTCTGTCAACAGCTGGAGATGTTCTCGCTTGAGTCTTCTGTTCTCCCTGATCAGGTGCCTAATATGGTGCGGTGCTGGACCATTTAGGTGTCTAGGAACTGCCGTAGTCTCGGAGCGGGTGCTGTCCTCGTGCGCTCGCAGGACAGCATTCTCCAGCTCCTCTACCGCGTTGTCCAGTTCCTCCGCTGATCGGATGGTTGGAATTTGAGTGATGTTCCTTTGGACGTTGGATTTGTACAGGTTCCAGTTCGTCCGTTTGGTGCTCAAGCTATCTCGAGTTCTAGACCCTGTGCCAAGTGTTAGTAGAATCGGATTGTGGTCCGACGATCCTTCCACCAGGGTCTCTATCTCGAACTCCTCTCTGATGTTGCGGAGGATGGCTATGTCCAGTACCGCAGGTCGCCCGAGGCCGAATGGAATGTAGGTTGGTTGCTCCGGACCGACGATGACCCCCGCCAGGGCATCGACGTGTTCTTGGAGCTGCCTTGCATTCCTGTCTTCGACAGATCTCCGATGACTATGCGTGCTCCTGGGCCTCTCAGGAGGTCAGCGATGTCATCTTCGTCTAGGGCCTCCCCTGGTGGCACATATAGGGAGGTGATCCTGTAGGGACGGTGGTTGTGATGGACCTGGACCGTGATTCCGTCCCCATTGATGTCTGCGGCATCGTCGAGGACATGACTCGTCAAGGTACGTTTGACGAGTAATGCGACTCCTCCACCTCTGCCTCTTCTGTCGTAGCGGTACGTCTCGTACCGCGGGAACGTCAGACTATGGGCAGCATCCAATTTCGTTTCTTGGATGGCCATCACCTCTGGTTGGTACTGGTCTAGTATCTCCTGGATTTCTGGTTTCCGTGCCCTGAATCCGTTGATGTTCCAGGAGATAATGCGTAGAGATTCTACGTTTTGCCCTGTAGTCATTTCGGGTCTAATGCTTGTCTTGCATCTTGGCCTCGAGTGCATCCAGGCGGGTTATGATGGCTTGCAACATTGCTAGCAGTCTGTCATCGCCGTGTTGCTTCTGCGCAGTAGTTCCAGCAGCAGTGGTGGCTGCTGGAGCAGAAGTGGACATAGGTTTCTTCGCTTTTTGAGCGTAAGAGGTCCCATTTGTGGTGAGGGCTGCTTTGGGGGCAGAAGCAGCCTTCCTCGGGACCTTACTACATCCCTTGTAGTTGGCGGGGTGGCCTTCTCCACAAAGGCAACACTTGGCGTTTCGTTGCCCTGTTGGCGGCGCTGGCAGTCTGCAGCTGGTGCTGCTGTGGTCCTCTCCACACTTAACGCACCGTTCAGCGAGACGGCAGTTCCGCTGTGTGTGCCCGTACCGCTGGCAGCGGTAACATTGGCTGGGCTCGGAAGACTTTTTCTTCCTCTCGAAGCTGACCGTGAGCATGGCCAGCCTCTGGATCTCTGCAAGCTTTTCCGGCATCTTCGTCTTGACGAGGAAGAGCGGAAGTGGCTTCTTGGTGGTCCTTGAGGTCATCTGCTGAACCTCGGCGTCTGCGATGCCTTGGCTCACTAGATCCTCTTTGATGTCATTGACTGACATCTCCCTGGGTAGCCCACGAATGACCCTCTGGTCCATCCTGTCCTCCTTCAGTTGATAGGTGAAGAAGGGCCGCTTGATGGATTCCAGCAGTGCGACTAGCTGGCGGTAGTCAGCTGGTGTATTTGTGAACACCTTCACACTGTTACCCGCCGTCCTCGCCTTGGAGAATTGGATCCCCTTGCTGTTCATCATCCTGCTTAAGGATGACCAGTCAGCGGTGCCCTCGATGCTGATGGGGGGAACTCCTGTTCCCGACATGGGGGGCAACATGGTTCTGGCTGCTCTAGGACTCTTCTTGGTGGCGGCAGCTGGCATCTTTGGCTGCCTTGGCGACTCATCTTCGGAGGAGGAAACTCGCACCCGCTTCCTCCGTCTGGTGGCGACACTGAAATCGGTGTCGTCGGTCCTCTTCTCGGCTTCTTCTTCTATTTCTTCGGTCCGTTGAGTGCCCTCTTCTTGAGCGTCCATCTCGTCCGACGTAGCCTGGTGGTCCTCTTCCTCCTCTTCTTCGGTCTTCTTTGCAGCCTTCTTCTTGGCCCTGCGGAGCTTCCCGTTCAGGTCCTCGATCTCCTGTTGAGCCTGCAAGAAGCATCTGCTCTCTCAGCATGGCGAAAGCATCTTTCTTTTCTTTCAGCTGGTTAGCCAGCTTCTCAATTTTTGCCATCGTAGATGGCAAACAACCAATCTATCGCAATGAAAATCGCAATAAGATTGCTCAATATGTCCGGGTGGGTCGCAGTCGCACAAGTGTATACTCGCGACGGCTGCTAGCTCGGAACTGACGGGTGATTAATGGCTGCAATATTTATGCTTTTATATACCGGTTGTTTCAAATTCGACCCTTACCAGTGAGATCTCGGAAACGGTAAGAGATACGGATTCGGTTAAAAGGGGGCATATTTAGGTCACAAACAAAATGCCGCTTAGGAAATTCCGAAATTTAAAATACTTCTAGAGACAGAAAAAACGATTTTTCCCGAAATCGTTTTAATTTTTTCCTGACTTCATTTGTATTTGGATGTTGAAATTAATTGCTTATTATTGACACCACTTTTTCTCCTCTACAAGATGTCATAATTAGAATTTCAATATGACGTTTAGTCTCATCTCCTCCAGCATGAACTTCTTTTTTTCTTATAGACGCCATATTGGATTTGTGCGCGGTTGAATAGAGTTTTTAATTCTGATTCGAAAAATTTATAATATATCATACATTGACATTGCCAAACGTCAGTTATTACAGAAGAACGGAAATTCCTAGGTAGGCCTTGAAATTATCATAGTCATTTGTTTCGTATATCAGACCAGAGCTGAAATTGAACCGTAACAAAGTTTGAAACACTGAGAAGAAGAAAAACAAATCGAACAGTGAACAATGTACAGAGAAGAGTCAGGCTTTGTCCACAAAATTTTGAAAAGCTGCTATGATTTACCTTTGCTTAATCATTATTATCATTGTTATCACCATTAATAAAAATTTCATTTTTCGTTCAGGTTCCACCATCCTTCGTTATTTCCTTATGAGTGTCGTTCCAACAACAAATTAATGGTCAGCAAAGGAAATACATCACTGAACTTAGGACTGAAAAGTGCATTTTATGAAGTTGGTTGGTCATGGAAATCGAAAGAAGAAACCTCGCATTGGAAATTTTACTGCACAATCTTGTAAAGGAGAATAAGTGGCAATGACAACATGCAATTTTATTTGAAGTCCGATCTCAAATAAAGACAGGAAAAAATAAAAATTATTTTGGGAGAAATCTGGTATGCGCGACAAATGATAATCTGGCATACCAAGCAAATTCTGTGTTTTTGAATAACTAAGGTTTGGCAATGTCAATGAATCATGTATTATACATTTTTGGAATCAGAATCAAAAACTCTATTTAGCAGTGCAAAATCCAATATGGCGTCGTAAATAAAAATAAAGTTGATGCTGGAGGATAAGAGACGAAACGTTCTATTGAAAATCTGATTATGTCATCTTATAGAGAAGAAAAAGTGGCTAGTTGGTGTGCAGTTTTCTTTGGAATCCCACTACACATAAAGTCAGGACAAAATTAAACCGATTTTGGGAAAATTCGATTTTTTCTGTCTGTCTCCGGAAGCACTTTGAATTTCGAAACTTTCTAAGCGGCATTTTGTTAGTTACCCAAATACGGAACTTTGCTCCCTCATATCTTCATATCTTTCACCGTTTCCGAGATCCCAATGGTGAGGGCCAAACTTAAAACACCCGGTATACTTGTCCTTAGCTCCCTTTAATTCAGCCCTGTCGTAAAATCCATTTGAGCTAATAAACCCTGCCCATAAGGTACTTCTTGCTGAATTTCGTGTCAATCAAGTCAAATAGCTTCTAGCATACATTTCTATAAACTCACTTAAAATAGTGATTAGGTTCTCCCGGTAGCAATATTCAGCCCCCCCTACCTCATCTTAAGGATATAATTTCTAGGATTATTTGTTAACGTTTTTTCATTTAAAGGATGAAATTATATACAAAACGTACTCTACTTTCAGAATGCAGTAATTTGAGATACTCGAGGCTCTTCAGCTTCAAGAATGTTAAACCCTACTTCACTCCTTTGGGGTATAATTTCTAAAATTTCTTTGAACCTACGCATTTATATTCCCGTTTACATTATATCAAAAAATCAAATATAAAAAAACCCATGTGTTATCCGTAGTGTAGCTATTAATCTGTGGGAGAAATGATCCCGCTACTCACTTTTGGCCGCCCTATATTTTTGAACGGTGCATATTGAGGAGTAAATTATAAACAAAGACGATTGGAGATAAAATAATAAGCAATTTCCTCTATTCTCGTAAGCGCCGTCGGCGTCTAAAAATATCAACGATCCACTTTTGAAGCGTCGGCGTCGATGCTGACTCTCCAATGCTTTAGTTCTATTTACAAAACAGTTGATGGTGTTTCCATACTGGAAGTAGAAAAAGAATTACTCCATGACTGTGAGAAGGCATGGCTAAGTTTCTAGTGTTTATGGTGTTGGTGTCTATGAGTTGCGTTATATCGGTGAAACATGAGAGAAAGGTGATAAATATAGGTGAGCACCATGAAGAAATTCTTAAAATTCAGGGCTTGTTACACGATGTTTAATGATTTTTGTCGAAACGATACGTTGATAAGTCGCCTACCAGTCAGCTCAAACAGGCATGGTTGGAGCCAAATTTACTAGGGTTTTGGAAGTAAAATAATACTTTAGCTAAAATTCTCATCGAAAAACTCCACTTTAGGAAAACGTGATACGATGAGTGCTTACTCTTTTCCACCAACATTTATTATGGAATATGATATTTATTTGTATTAACCGTGTAGCGAGGATGTCACTAATTCACAGGTCCACAAAATGAAAAAGTGGTTGTGTGGTGGGGGTCTCACTATACCTTTCCCATGTTTTTTTCACTGAATTTGAAGTCATAATGAGACTCGATGGACAAATATGAAACTAATTTGACATCAGAATTACAAATACAGCAATCCGACCTTGAACCTACTTTCATATTTGTCCAGCGACCCTCAATTCTGACTTTAGATTCGTGCTTAGTAGGGAAAAATAGATGGGAAAGATATAGTGGGACCCCCAACACACACCACTTTCTTATTTTGTATGCCTATGTTATTGATGTGTATGTAAAGCCCAATAAAAGAACACTTTTTACCTAACTAATATTCTATAATGGAAAGAAATTTAAATTTAGGTTGCTGAAGTTTTGTTCTTTAGCATGATAAACCTACCATAGGCAGGAAATGAAATTTTTGAGTTTTTGCTACGACACTACAAATATTATATGTAGATAAAGAGTTGGTAAGACAATATTGTAGCTCAATAAATAACCTTCAAAAGTTGTCTTGCCAATTCTCTTAAAGCTCTCATTTAGGTTATCAAACTGATAAAATATTTTTTGAGCCATTTACCAAGCTCCCTGATTAATACAATTCACAATAGATGTAAAAAACGAGAAAATATTAGCAAACATTTTTTTGAGGCCAAGTGCTATTTTAGGCCGTACATCTTCCCAAAATCATTATAGCCATAAACGCTTGTAGAATTTTATTTTTCATTTGTTGTGAGAGAGCAAAAATATCTAGTTTCTAGAAAAGAAAATATAGCACAACAAATTTCGACTTTCTTTAGTCATTATTTTCAAGAAAATTTTGTTGACATTACTCGACCATATCTAGAAGCAGAAAATATCAATAATAACAGTATGGGGAGCTGAAAGTATACTTTATGGACGGTGCTAAACAGTTTTCTTTATACGTTGTGTTACCAAAGTAATATTACCTGGAAAAGTATAACAAATGTTTTTTTTTGTATAAACCGCAAAACTGTTCTCATTATAAACAGTTGCGAGTCATCATTTAAAAATATTCTTATTAATGGTTCCTGAAAATATTGTGCGTATTCAGAATGCTTGCCTCGCAAACGAAAAAAATAAAAAGAATTCGCAAAGGCGTAGGAAAAACATGCGGTTTGGAGTAAAAAACAATGACCTCGAAATTAATATAACTACTTGTTTTAAAAGCTAACAGCCATCAGTTTAGCAGTTATTTTCTCTTATATTCTTATCTTAAAGATATTATATAAGTATGTATGGTCAGATGGCATTTATGCAACGTCAAAATATAAGCGACTGCTCAAATTCAGATTGTTGCGTGCCCAACCACTGGCCAATAGTAACGCAAGAATTTGTTGAATTCGATATAAAATTGTCCTGAAATGAGATTTCCTGAAAATAATATTATTCCAATATCTCCCCACACTCTAAGTTGAGACCTGAAGAGTGAGATCATTAAGCTATTGACAAAAGTATATTTCAAATGCCCTTAACAAAATTTGTATATACCAAACGGCCAACTTTCCGTAACGTAAGCATAACGCTTTTTTGTACTCAACTATAGACATTTATAGTCCGTTCACTGAAACAAAGCAGTCACGTCATATTTAGTAAATTTGAATTCCAACTTTAATGCAAAATAGACCCTAAATTGGTAGGTGTAGTTTGAATTTCCCGAGTACATTTATGTTGGTAGCAGTCTGTGTTGTGACATAGTCCCAAAGCTTGTCAGGTAATTACGCCAACCGCTGTTGTTTATTTGTGGTTTATTCTGGTTCTTTTTGCCTTTTTGCATTGTTATTTTATAAAAACAGATTTTTTCAAAACTTTGAGGTGTCCTTTTCAGCGTTTTGCTAAAATGCCGAAACCTCTGGGTCGATAAGCAAAATAATTCGTCATTTCTTTGACGAAATATTTTGATACCGAACCAGATCATGGAGCTCCATTATTGCCCTTACAGTCCGTAAGAGAGGTGTTAGGTAGTAAATATTTATTGATCTACATATTTTTTTAACAGCAATTCGTGTGATGTGATATATGACATGTATAAACAAAATGAGTTTTTTATGTTCACTACATATAATACAAAATTTATTGCTATAAATATTGTGTTTTAATTTCAAATGAACATGTTACACTTTCCGCATTGGCAAGTAAACTAAAAGATCGACATTTATTTAAGGATGGAAAAGTATCATTGTGGAAATCTTTACGACAAATGGGATTTAAATGGCAAAAAGATGACCCACGTAGAGGATTAATGGAACTGAGTCACATTGCTTCTAAAAGAATAGCATTTCTTCGAGCATACTTAGACTACAAATAATAATAATAATATGTCTTTATTTTTTAGTTAAAAGAATAACAAGGAAAAAAACTCATTTCATGAGGGAGGCGGCATTCAACATAGTTGCTCTTCCATGCAACTCTCAAATCATCAAACAAATTTCAGTTTGTTTTTCTTGACGAAACATGGATCTTTCAGAATGGTACACCAGGTCGATCACGGCAAGACAGTAGTGTAAAATCAGAGAAGTAAAAATGTCAGTACCTTATTTGAAACACAGGGGTGTATATGTTAACCTTACATTAGATTGTAAATTCTCATTCTTGTTCAGAGCTTTTTCACTTTGACATGTACAAGTATTTGACAGAACAGGTAGAAAAATATGTGCTTCAAATGTGGTATCTGTTACATCATTTTTCTGATATTAGTTTTAGGCTTATGAAAATAACATAGAGGTCCTCGATAATCCTTGTTTTTTTTAGGAATACTGTTCTATATGCCAGAAATAAAAATGGATTTATTGATGGAGCAGAATTAGTATTTTCATCATCATTAAATCATGGAGACTATGATGGGGAAATGAATAAAGACAACTGTTTGCAGTGGTTTGAAAAGCAATTATTGAAGAATTTAAAAAAGCCATCGGTTATAGTTATGGACAATGCACCATACCATAGTACTATTGAGAATAAGGCACCAACTATAGCATCCAAAAAGGAGGATATTAAGGAATAGTTGGGGACCTCGGTTGGCCAGGTGGGTCAGTGTCGTGCTACTGATCAGCCGACCGGCCGGGCCGCGAGTTCGAATCTCGCCTTCGGAAATAACCGAAGCCATGGATGTTGTGGCGTCGTGTGTTTGTCCTAAAGATTTACATATATATATATATACATTCTCGTGGCCGAATAGGCTAGAACGCCTAAGGCCATTTAAATAAAAAAAGGAATAGTTAAGCGATAATGGAATTGATTTTAGTCCTGACATGTTCAAAGCACAACTACTTCAGAAGATACAGGAATACAAACTGCCTATAAGATATGTGTTGTTGATGCATTAGCCGAACAGTATGGACATAAAGTATTACGATGACCGCCCTATCATTGCATTTTTAATCCTACCGGAAATGTTTGGGCATAGCAAAGTCCTATTACTCAAACATGTGGGTCGAGATGGCAGAACTGTAGAGAGCACTGTATCAATTTATTGCGAAAAACTGTTACGGGCGAAATTGGTCAAAATGTATATTTTAGTCCTGACATGCTCAAAGCACAACTACTTCAGAAGATACAGGAATACAAACTGCCTATAAGATATGTTGTTGATGCATTAGCCGAACAGTATGGACATGAAGTATTACGATGACTGCCCTATCATTGCATTTTTAATCCTACCGGAAATGTTTATAGACCGAAAACGAAATTCAGATATGGTGGGAAAGAAAAAAATATCTAGGCCAAGCTGACATTTTACCAATTATTATAAATGTGAATGATGAAGATAGTGATTGCAACTCAGAGAGTTCTAGTCACTAGAACTTTTTTCAAATAAAATACGTGTATATCTTGTCACTATTATTTATACGTAACTCTTTATTCTGAGAATTTTGTATAATAAATACTTTGAACAAATTTCATTTCAATGTTCATTTTTCTTATAGCTGTATGTTGTGTAATTTAACTTAAATTATTTTCCAACAGTAAGCTGATTTCTGCTAGTCACTAATACGCACGGTACTGTAATGTTGATTGCGGTCTGCCACTGTCACTAGCTTTAGCGTTTACAAAACATACTGTCCGTAATGTTGGTTGCGGTAAGACATCGAAGACACAAAGTAGATTTTGTAAAACGGCCTACGATCTAGTAGTTTTAATTAATGTGGCAACCCTGTGCGTCACTATCATTATTTGACGTTGTGACGTAACTGCTTTGATTCAGTGAATATACCATATGTATGGACTAAGCACAGCTTCTCTATGGCCTATACCGATGGTTATATATTAATAGAATTCTATGAAGAGTCAATTCATAAGGCTGAAAGTAGTGACAAATAAAAGGCTTATTATTAACACATTATTTCTCCTCCTACCTCCTTGTTGTTTGTAGCTGTCTTCTTGGATGCGGATGAGCAAAATGAAATAGCAATACTAGCTTTAAGTAGCATCATTAGAACAGTATACAGTAGGACCAATTATTTGCTACGTCCGCTAATCCATAGAATGCATAAGTACGAAGTATTTAAAACTGGACAACTTGGTAAGTAACGATCGTACACTGTACGCCGAGTAGCTGCTGTCTCACATATCACACCAAGTTGATTAGTACAGGACTTACAATTCTCGCATATATTACTTTTATTTTTTGTTAATGCTACATATGGCAATACAGTTTGTACTATGATGAAAATACATCCTTTCCAAGATACTACCAAACCTTGCATTATACATAGTAATAGTAATGCTTGAGTCAAAGACTATCACTGAAACGACAGAAACAAAACTTTTAGAAAGTTTCACCAATAAGTGCATTTGTCAAAAAATTGGGTGGTCTAAATGCCTGCCTGAATCTGTTGTGGTTATTTTAGCATGTTCACTACTAGAACAAGGCGTGTCTGCGATATTTGGCCCAGAATCACCGGAGATCAACGATATTGTTCAATCAATATCCATGTCGTTGCAAATCCCCCAATTCCAGACATTTTGGAATTCAAGACTCAAGACACTCTATGATCATCAGGGATATAACGGAAACGAGATATATACATTTAATTTACACCCCAGTCCAACAAATTTAGCTAAAGCACTGGCAACACTGGTTCGGGAAAATGACTGGAAAAACTACATTGTAATATACGAAAATGATGAAGGATTGTTGAGACTTCAGGAAGCGCTGAAGCGTCGGAATACTCAGGAGCCTGCTATAATTTTCAAGAAATTGGGAGACAGAGAAAACTACAGGTAAAGTCGGTGAAGTTATAAGGTTACGGATATGCTGGTGATTTTTTATTGTATTTTTGTACCTACAAGGTGTTCAGTTCTACCAACGTGGACATAAACTTCATTTTTTTTAAATATATAATTCTATTTTCGGACTAAGCATTATGCAAGTCCGACGTTGATGATTGGTTTGTTCCCAGTAAGCTATCACTAAATGCTGATAATACTCAGTCGATAATAATCATCCTACGCAATTATGAGTTGGAGTCATGAATGCATACTGACTGCACTCTGACTTAGGAGGTACATGCTGTACATGCCGTTATATTGTGGATGGTTTGTCCAGAGTTATCTACCTCATTCGTGGTCCAAAAGATGTAGTATCTGACAAAGTGTTATTGACCACCTACCATGCATATTTCCACTCCAAAATGACGTAAGCAACTTTGATGAGAGGACACTCTTCACATATTCAAAAGGTTTTTGGCATGCAAAGGCGATGTATCCGTTGTATGTCAGGCTTGAAATAAAGAGATCCCTCCAAGGTTGAGTTCATCAAATGGGGGATACTCACTACACCATGCATTCTATTTATATTTTGATCTGACAATTGTACGTGAAAATTGTAGTCTCTTCTCCACTCACAGTGATTTTCACAGTTATGAAGCTCGCAATAGAGATAACATCTGCCATAATAGCCATCGCCTCGACAAAACCAGAAACGGGTCAAATTTCTATGGTGTTATAATTTTTAACCTGTCAAATCGCTGAGTATTGATACTATCCACAAGAAACTCAAAGACTAACGAAAAAGCAGTCTTCTGTATTGATGAATATTCGACAAATAATTTTTGTGATATGCTTTTGTAGATGTTCATATTATTCTTTATTTTAGTCGGTTCCACGTTTCCGCATGCGCTAATGTTTATTTTACTCTGTCCCTCTTTTCCGCTCGTGTGTTTATATTCACTTGGCTGTGTCGATGTCCTTATTTATTTTACTCTGTTTCGCTTTTGCGCTTTGTCTGTATGTTGTATCTGTTTATTGCTCTTGAATTTTAATCGTTTTCTAATTTCCCCTCAAGGCACGTCTTTTCAATCTGTACTCTTTTGACGTATGTAAACACATTTGTGTAGTAACACCAATAAATTATTATTATGATTATTAAACATACAATTTGGAATATATTTTGTTTTCACATGCATGAGGTTATTAGTATAATAGTTATTATTATGATATTGATATATCATATTTTGTTCTTTATGAACAAATTCAGCCAACTTATATCAGTGACTCATTATGTCAATTATAAGTAGCCTGTTCATTCAATGAATTAAAATATAGAAAGATAGAGGCACGAATCGTGAAGTGATTTATACAGCTATCCGCCATAAACATTGTTTTCGCTTGTTAGGACAAGCCCATACTCAATGTGTCCTAAAATAAATGAAATATATCTCGTAAACTCATTGAGATAGTCCGTCCGAATTCATCAACTTGGTTTCTGGCTAGGCTAGTCTGCAAATAATTCATGCCGCGCTTGCTACAAGTTGGCATGAAGTGAACGACAGCTAGATCCCAGTTGACGCTTTGTAGGAAAACCAACTTAGGCCCGTATCGTCAGTCGTCCCTACAATTGTAGGGCACCTTTATGGCCTCCTTGATTGTCATATTTTTCTGCTTCACCGTGTCAGAACTCTATTTTGAGGTTATGTCACAAACATCTATTTGCATCAAATTGTGCTTGCTTTTGAGTTATATCATGTTTTATCAGCCTGAAATTTCCTACAATTTAAAAAGAAAACATATCTTCACAATAGGAGAGCGCTGACGCTGACACGGGACAAGTGTAATCTAGAAATTTTTGAAGGAGAGAAAGGAGGATGACAATCAAGGAGGCCATAAACGCGCCCTACAATTGTAGGGACGACTGACGATACGGGCCTAAATTTCATAAAAAACCTACATAATGTCAAAAAACCGACAAAGTCACTTTTCAAGATACATAATATCTCCCGGTGAGGGAGGGATCTTTTTGCTATGAAAAGGCGTCAGCGGGCGGAGTCAAGGATGACACATTTGTACCATATTTACAAGTATGACTTTAGTTTCACACTCTAACATATATAAGTCAGTAGCAATTAAAAAGCATTGGTTTGGTTCTCCACCTTGTATTTAAAATATACTATCCTGTGAAACGTTATGGCTGATGATTCCACCACCAGGACACACGACACCATGATTGTTTGCAATAGGACACATACAATAATGATGAAAATAGTGTACATAAGACATATTTCCAAAAATATCCAGCAAAGCCGTGCAAATCATAAACGCATGCCACTTTTACAGATTTGTATAATAAGGACCTCCTGACGCTGTGACTATACAGGGTGTTTAAGTAAGATGTGCCAATATTTCTAGGGTAGAGTGTACATCGAAAAATAACAAAAAAGGTTCCTATGAATTCGTGTACAAGGATGCTCCCCTACCGAGATACAGGGTGGTGAAGTTTTATTTACGAAATCGGAAAAAATATATCTACGAAGCGGGTGAAGACACTGAGTTAAGGTTTGAGAAGTTCAGTGAGAACATCGTAAGCAATAAATACACAGAATTTTCCAGCCGAAACTGAACCAGGGACGTATAAATTGGGGTACCCATAACCTTGTTAGGTAATATTTTCTACGCTACTGGCCTTTGTCGGAGAAAAAAGTACATTTTATATAACACTATTTATTCAATTTACCATACATTTTGTCTTTTAAGGAATTCCTGTCAGATCACTCGTTTTGGAGATATTTAGGATTGAACATTTGAGGTTAAAACCTAAAATATTGTTATGATGTTGTAATCACTATACTGCATGTGAAGGAAGTAGCGTATAAACTCACCATTCACTAAGCCTTTCCCGTGCATGCCACTGGTTTTGTCATTTTTGTTTATAGATAATGTAACTTCAAAACAAAAAAATAACGTTTATTTCAAAAATAAATAAATAAAGCTAATGAGATTTAAACGCGACAACAATAAAAATTACACTTAAGAGCCGTATCGTCAGTCGTTCCAAAATATGTAGGACGCCTTTATGGCCTCCTTGATTTCGAAAATATTATGTCTTCTTCGATAAGGTACTTGTATGTTGTGCTTTAGATTTCCAGCACACTGACAGTTCTGGTTAGAAGTTATGTTGTTGTTTTGACGTTTAGGAAATCTTTAGACTCATGAATCGAAGGCAGAACTGCAGAAGCATAATTTATTATTTGCTTGCAAATAATGCCGATCAGTCAATAGTTAATAATACTGAACAAATTCCACAACCTGTGGTATCTTTAATTTAATGCACATGGATATATTATATTATAATATTATATTTGTATGTATAAAAGTCCTTAAGCTTACAACCAAGCTATTCTCTTAATGAAGGTTACAAAATAAATAATTGCATATTCATATTATATACTTATCGCATTATTTTCAGGTGTGATTCATTCTCACAGACTTTATGAGATGGTTCCTCCATGGATAATAAACATTGTATGACAAGTCCAATTATTGCATTGTCCATGTCAGAGGTGCTTTTTCACAAATCATTGTGTGACTCTAGATTGTGTAGGATATCATTCTACAAGTATGTATAATGTGTGTGTGTTGTGAAAATCATAATTACTATTAATGACCATCGCTATTTCAGGGTGCTCAAAATGCCATGGTCATGTAGGATTACCAAAAATGAAATGCATGTGAAGGTAGCTCCAAAAGCTGGCTCCACAATCCTACGCACCTCTACATTACAGCGGACCGAATAAATGCTGTCCGCCTGCGATACGCCGTGGCTGTAGCGTTACTCATAGAAGCCTGTGACGCGCATACGAGGTGAGCGCGGTAATTATATATAATATATATAAAAGTAGGAAAATAATCGGCAAAATCCGCAAAAAGGAGGAAAGTGGATTCGAGCAGAAAATAGGATTGGTAACCCGAGCGATACGTATTTCTGCTGGTTGGCTTCATCAGGCCCGAAATGAATGCACATATGAAACTACAAAAGTAGATACACATGCCCACACATCCGGATACGGGTGTAACCTGAGAAACCGAAGTTGGAGGGGGAAAAAACGACACACGAAATCCACAACAAGAGCCAACCTATACATTGTAGTATAAAATGGCTATACGACCTCGAATTTTCAAGGAGACGTCTAACCACAACGACGTGGCCGGTTATAGCCACTTGCTGTGGTACTTCAAGCCCAAAGGATCTACAAAGAGAATATGATCATGCGGAGAAAGGTATATAACAACAAGTAGGAAAATAATGGGTACTTTCTCCGCATGATCATATTATCTTTGTAGATCCTTTGGGCTTGAAGTGCCACAGCAAGTGGCTATAACCGGCCGCGTGGTTGTGGTTAGACGTCTCCTTGAAAATTCGAGGTCGTATAGCCATTTTATACTACAATGTGTAGGTTGGCTCTTGTTGTGGACTTCGTGTCGTTTTTTCCCCCTCCAACTTCGTTTCCTCAGGTTACACCCGTATCCGGATGTGTGGGCATGTGTATCTACTTTTGTAGTTCCATATGTGCATTCATTTCGGGCCTGATGAAGCCAACCAGCAGAAATACGTATCGCTCGGGTGACCTATCCTATTTTCTGCTCGAATCCACTTTCCTCCTTTTTGCGGATTTTGCCCATTATTTTCCTACTTGTTGTTATATACCTTTCTCCGCATGATCATATTCTCTTTATATGTATATATATATATTTCTATCTGTGCCTACGAGTCTTATACTATTGCGGTATTGCATTAAGTGGTTCTGCAGAGTTTGTAGGTTCGTATTGTGAGACGGGGGTTTGGGGTAACAGACGAACACTGTATGCCGATTAACAACGACATATATGAACAGAATAACAAACAATATCTCGTATTTATGTGATACATAGCTCGTGTAGCTCGCGTCGTTGTCGTCGTCGTCTTGGCTTGGCGTCTTTTCTCACTCAGCGACTTGCTCAGACTTGAT